GAGTAACTTGGCCAGTTAGACCTAGGCCTAGTCACAGTAAACTGTTTTTTCAAGGCCAGTAGTTATCATACCAATGCCCAGTGCTCCAGCTCAAATCATGTAAAAGTCTGCTATATTTGAGGGAAATAAACTCCCTGAGAGCCTTAGTAGAGTTCAACATCACAACTAAAGCAAATGGCTGGAAGGATGTGGTGCCAAGGGTCCTAGCAACAACTTAAACATCTAGTTCTGATGGTCTTGGAGAATCCTCTTGAATCAGTAGAGGATCTGAAGAGATGCCAAGATAGCCTCAGAGACTTTCAGGATAAATTGGCAATGGACCAATCTGTGGACATTCAGCTGGATTTAGACTTTATTTAAGATCAGCAGCAGGAGGTCACAGACGCCATGGAATTTCCATGGAGCTCGAATTTTCCCTTGAAGCAGCACACATGAAAAGAAAAACAGCTGTTAGTGAAAAAAGATACCACTTATGGCAATGAGCTTCTATAAGTGCATCTCCCTGTTCGATATATGGGTTGGAAAAACCTGATCTAATCTGGGTCATGACCGTATTGAACAGTTTGAAAAAGTGACACAAGGGAAACTGGAAATAATCCAAAAACAAAGGGAAGCAGCTCGGTGAAATGTTAATGCACTGAAACAACTGGCCATAAAAAGTAGCATCATAAACATAAGACTCTAATGAAAACTCCTCAGCTAGCGTGGTTTTCTCCTCTACTTTTTCCATTCCCAAGTCAAAGGGACAATTCTTGGAGATGCAAGGTTCAGCCTCACAGTTGGACAGATTAGCTCAGGGAGTTACATACTTATCACCATTGCTCAACTACTGAATGTATGATAACAAGAACTGACACTAGTTCAAGTGCAAATGACTGGAGCAGATATGGGAAGAGTAGAGAATGGGGAATCCAAAATTCAACCACTTCTTTGGCCTTAAATGGGGACATTTGCACTGTAAACCTATTACTTTAAAATTTAAATTGTCATAGGCCTTGTCTTGCTGTGAAAACCAAGTTAAACAGGGTCCTTGGAAAGCATACATCCATGTGAAACTGAGTTTGAAATCAGGGCCTATGGAATTTGAGCAGGAA